TGTGACATAATAAACCACAAGACCAGGTTTATGTCACTCGAATTTCAGCATGGAATTACCTCTTTAATATACATATCATTTTAGGGGATTTTCATACATAACTTAAAAACAATCACACAAAGAGAAAATGTTTTAGTCTTTTCTTTCTCTCGCTACCTAACCTCAAAAAGTTCTCATTAAGGATGTGGTGTCGTAATATACATTCCAAACATTAGTTTCTTATTACCCATTTGCCTGATGTCTATCATATTATTTTCCATTATAATAGTGGATACAAGCTTATCTTAGGGCAGCATGAACTTTTTAAAGTAGATGGTGGTACAGAAGAAAAATGTTGGTTTCTCTCTTTCTTTTTTACACTAGACCTTTTACAAGTATCTTCCACTTGGGCTTCATTTTTTTTTTTTTTTTTTGACATTCAAAGGATCAGACAGTCATATGGAATAAATACTATTAGTAATTTCTGACCATGGTGATTGGTTATCTGTGATTGGTATTACCACTGAGTCAGGTCTACGTGAAGTAAGAATGGAAGATAATCATGGCCACGAATAACCCCCTGCCAGGAATGCTCTACAGTGATGCTGTCCTCCTCATTTGGCATAGTTAGGGGAACCATGCTCATTCTCTACCTTTGGAAGCCATTTTAGTAAAAAGCAACTGGGCGAGCAAATAAAAATAAATTAAATTTTTGCCTGTCACTGTGTTAAGTGTCCAGAACTGAATGTGTAATGCTTGGTACTTAGAATCGAAGTGGTTCCTTTTTGGGTAATTTCCTGTACCCGCTGCTGCACCACTGTTGTTTACCATACACAATGGAATACGATGTGGCAATGAGAAAGAATGACATCTGGCCTTTTGTAGCAACGTGGATTGAACTGGAGAGTGTTATGCTAAGTGAAATAAGTTATACGGAGAAAGACAGATACCATATGTTTTCACTCTTATGTGGATCCTGAGAAACTTAACAGAAGACCATGGGCGAGGGGAAGGGAAAAAAAAAAGTTAGAGAGGGAGGGAGCCAAAACATAAGAGACTCTCAAAAACTGAGAATAAACTGAGGGTTGATGGTGAGTAGGAGGGTGGGTGATGGGCATTGAGGAGGGCACCTGTTGGGATGAGCACTGGGTGTTGTATGGAAACCAATTTGACAATACATTTCATATTTAAAAAAATAATAAAAAAATAAATATGAGACATGAGGAGTGGTAATTTGAAGGGATGAATATTCACTTCAATTTTGGGAGGGGAGGATGAGGTGGGGAGTAGAAAACGCCAAGACAGGAAACCGCATAGAGTGTATTTCTTTACAAAAGATGGCTCACGAATAGAAAAATAAAAGATCAAACTATCAAGAGTTCACGAAGGAAATATTGACATGAAATCTTCACAATTATTTGTGAAGAGGGGAGGACAGTGTGATGTTTTCAAAATAACGACTAAGTACAAAGTGCCACAGAATGGGAGTTGCTCTGACACTGGGAGCTGCATCCTGCATTCTGTGTTCTTGCTTTTTTAAAAAAAAAAAAAATTTTTTTAATGTTTATTTATTTTTGAGAAAGAGAGACACAGTGTGAGCTGGGGAGGGGCGGAGAGAGAAGGGGACGCAGAATCTGAAGCAGGCTCCAGGCTGTCAGCACAGAGCCTGACGCAGGGCTTGAACTCACAAACCACGAGATCATGATCTGAGCCAAAGTTGGACGCTTAAGCGACTGAGCCACCCAGGCGACCCATCTGTGTTCTTGCTTTTAATGCCCACTTTTATTCCTCTTGCCCTTATGGTATGATGGTTGTTGGGCTGCCGACTTTTGTTTGTGTCTTGTTATTCAAAAGCACCACATCTGGCTGGTCAGTTGACTGTCATTTATGAATAATTACTCAAAATTCAAGGTTTTCTGTTCTGAAAACATCAGCTCCCAGCACCTACCGGCATGGCCCAGACAAGCCCTAACCCATACTCAATGTCTGCCCCCCAAGCAGTCATACTGAACTTTTTTTTTTTTTTTTTTCAACGTTTATTTATTTTTGGGACAGAGAGAGACAGAGCATGAACGGGGGAGGGGCAGAGAGAGGGGGAGACACAGAATTGGAAACAGGCTCCAGGCTCTGAGCCATCAGCCCAGAGCCTGACGCGGGGCTCGAACTCACGGACCGCGAGATCGTGACCTGGCTGAAGTCGGACGCTTAACCGACTGCGCCACCCAGGCGCCCCCATACTGAACTTTTTAAAAAGTGAGATATCGCATCTTTTAATATTGAATAATGTAAAACACTCAGCCCTCTGACCTGACATCATAATGGCAGCAAAAAAGAAAAAAATCCTATTTTTTATCATTACATAATCTCCTCCTTCAATTGAGGTCATTTCCATGTGACAAGCAGCAATACGATTCTCATCGTTGCTTTAGTGTTTTCCCCCAGAGACTCCTTTCCTTCTCTGGCAGGATATATCCAGTAATATTAATACTCTACCCATCAATGCCAAAATTAAAATTCACTGTTCTTTACCACAGAATGTAGCATCTGTCCTTTTCTCATTTTCCCCCCACCCCTAAAATTTCCTGGCTATAATGGCTACCTATAGTCGGGTCTCTCATATTCTTTTTTTTTTTTTTAATTTTTTTAATGTTTATTTATTTTTGAGAGAGAGAAAGAGACAGAGTGTGAGTGGGTGAGGGGCAAAGAAAGAGGGAGACACAGAATCCAAAGCAGGCTCCAAGATCCAAGCTGTCAGCACAGAGCCCGACATGAGGCTCGAAACCACGAACCGTGAGATCATGACCTGAGCGAAGTCGGACGCTTAACCAACTGAGCCACCCAGGCGCCCCAATAAAGGGTCTCTCATATTCTTTTCATTTATGAAATACAAAACAACCTAAAGCTGAGTAGACCTTGCTGATATTACTTTCCCTCTGTCTCTGTCATTTTTTTTTTTTAATTTTAGGTGGAGGGAGAGCAGATTATTTCAACCTTTGCAATGAAATAAATTTTATTTACATGATGGTAATTTTCCATTAAAATGTGGGTTTTTTTTTTAACATTTATTATTTTCTTTGAGAGAGAGCATGAGCAGAGGAGGCGCAGAGGGAGAGGGAGACACAGAATCCGAAGCAGGCTCCAGGCTCTGAGCTATCGGCATAAAGCCCAGCAAGGGGCTCGAACTCATGAACCTTGAGATCATGACCTAAACTGAAGTTGGATGCTTAACTGACTGAGCCACCCAGGCGCCCCTCCATTAAGATGTTTTAAAATCCACCATCCTCTTGTATTCAAGAAACAACCCCTCCATTTTGCACACCAGAAGCAAATCAGCACCAAGAGCATTGTGTGATCTGTTTCAAGTAGGACAATCAGTTGTCTGGTCAAAGCCATAGAGCACAAGCGGAAGGAAGTTCCTGCTCCCACCCGTGGCTTCATTCCAATATATGGAAGTCTGTTGATGGCAATTAATTATCCAGCCAGACATTTACATTTAGGACACACAAGTGCTCAGTTAATATTTACTGAATATTGGCTTGTTTCTTAGGTTGAAATCATAATCGTTCTCAGCCAATTAAAATAGATCAAACACAGAAAAATACCAAAATTGAAAATACGTCCATCTCACTATATCCTGAGGTATTTACTCAGCCAACACTTACTGAATACGGGCTATCTGCTAAGATCTCTGCTGGGTGGAGAAACCGAAAGGTAATTAGACATCCTCCTTGACATTGAGGAATTCACCAATTAATTACCAAAGGAAAAATTTCATACCACAATGTGATCAGGGATATAATAGAAAAAAGCATCAAGCGCAATAGAAACACAGAAGAAAAAGGCCCTAAAGGGAGAAATCTTCATGAGTTTCCAACTTAAGCTTAAGCCTGAAGGATGAGGAAAATTCCTCCAGGCTCCAGATAGGAGAGGGGGTTGGAGAGGATAAAGATGTTTTGCAATGACAGACACTACCGGTGCTCAGTAAGTATATATAGGTTGAGTGAATACAAAAAGGGAAGGATTAATTTGGCCGTAGTCAGTGCTGTGCTGGCAAACCCGTTCTCTGGAGGGAAATAAAACCCTGATACATGGCAAATGTCAATTTATGTGGAGTACATGCTCCTCCTACAGGCAATTTCAAACTACCAACATGACATCACTGATCACGCAGAGGGGGAAAGACGCACACATGGCACTTGCCAGCTAGTATCAGCCAAGTCCAGCCCACTGTTGACTCTAGAGCACTCTATAAGTATTTGTGGAATGAAGGAGCCTGTAAATGGATGAATGAACAAACTATTTGATTCCAGGCCCAGGACTAATATGGTCAAAGGCTCAGAGATTGGAGTGTTAAGAAGCTCTGTGAGGTGTATCAGGAGGAGAGGGTGAATGGGAAGTTGAGTTGGATGTAGAATGCAGGTTCAAGGGTATGACTTTTCTCAAAAGGTAGTAGGGCATCATCACAGCTCTTGAAGGGGCAGAGTACCATGACCAGATCTATATTTTAGATGTGCCGTTAGCCATAATTCCCTAAGACCATACTTTGCCTCAAAGTATGAACACAAATGTGAATAGTTAAACCCTTACAAAAATTCTAATACGTGGAAGAGCTAAAGCCTTCCTTTTAATGAAACATAAGTGTAAGCAATCCTTCAACAGTCTTACTATACTGTTGGAAATTATTTCTTTATTCAATCAAAAGGAGTCCTAATGAAGGTCGGAGTCAACCAACAGAGGCAAATCAATGTTGAAGCACGGAATACATGTGAACTCAAATGTAAAGACACAAAGCAAAGGAGAAAAATGGCTTATATGGTGTCTGACTGGCTAAGTCACACAGGATACAAGGAAACTGCTTTCAAAGGCTGCCATGACCCTCAGCCCTCCTCCTCACCGTGGACTCTGTATGTCTCAGAAATGTGGGCTGGTGCATATACATTGCCCCCAAGCGAATGGCTTTACTTTTTGAGACCAGCAGGTCCTTTTATAAACTGGAAATCTTAACCGTGAATATATCTTACCTAGAGATATTGTCAGGTGAGCAGGCAGAGATGCTGGTCTCCATGCTATCAGAGCTGTCTAGGCTCAAAGTATCAAAGGCCTGGTCCTTATAGCTGTGATCGGGATAGTGGAAACTGTTCAAGTAGACATTTGATTCAGATGCCGTGCGGTTGTAAAATTCAGAAGATTTCTGCCTTTGTCCTTCACTCATCTGTTGGTGATTATACCCTGAGGGAAGAGCCATAAATATGTTAGTATGCCTCATTTTTCAGCCTTAGATCTTCTGAGAGTCAAACCAGCAGCCCAAAACATCTGCCTGTGAAACTTGGGCCTTGGTCTAATTTGTTTCGAAGCCAAGAAGATCAAAGACACAGCATCATGCTCAGTGCAAGCAACAGTTTCAGAGAAGTGGTCTTGGAAGCGATCTTTCTGGTCAGGGGATCACCTCACATTTCCCTTTGCCATTCCCACATCTCAGCGCAACTGAAAAGAATACATCAGCACACACAAAAACAAAAAAGGGAAAAACAAAAAAAATGGAAACACAGTCAAAAGCCCTGTATCTTCTAAAAATAGCTGGGCTCAAGTGAAGCAAGAGAACTCCCGGTGGCAAGCAACAGCAGGGTCTTAGGGCAGTCACTTGCTCAGCAGTATTCCAGTCTGAGGACTCGATAAGGTCGTAAAACAGCAGGTGGATCATCTAGGCGCAGGATGTAAGAGTCTTGGGTCTCACTCATATTGTCACAAACACTTTTAATCTGGTAAACATCTAAACCGTGTACATTTCTCATTCTTCGTTTTTCAATTTCTCTGGTCTGCCAATTATTTAAACACTTTGCAGTGAATGGCCCTCCTAATGGTTGTGCTTTTCCTAATTACCGGAGGCAGAGCTCTCTTCTTCTTCCACCCGAACTGTCAGCCCAAGCTAGTTGGTGGTACCAACCATACAAAACCGTTGCACTTAGATCAACAGCAGCAAAAATGCCATCAGTAAGAGGCTTCATCTTTACTCTGGTACTTGGTCAGCGGGTGTCTTAGGTATTGGCTTTACTTTGACTTATTGCTATGGCTTGCTCTCTGGTGGGAGCTTTTGGGCAATGCAAACTGAATTGTTTTTCCTTTCAATTCTCTCTTTACCATATATATGTAGGAACCAGGGATCATAATGATCAACCAATCCCTCGATTTATGCAAAAGACATTTCTCTAGCCAGCAGTGGTTTGCGATCTCTTTCTCCCTCATTAAATTTACTACCGGACCTATTAAGAGTTTACAACTCGACCATTTGAATTTCACCTCTTTCCTTGCACTCTACCAACCTTCAGTGAGGCTCTCAATTGGTAATGAAATAGTCAAAAAAAGCAGCCAGAGGGTGAAACAAGGGCAGTGATTCCAAACAGCTTCCTCAGCTATCAGTTGAACATTTCCATTGAAAAGCAGAGCCACAACCAGGAGGGCTTTAGTAAAGCATCATCCACCAAAAGTTTCTGTAAAATGATTTTAGTTCCACAGACAGTTTGCATGCCAAACTATTTGGAGTGGTTTTAGATATCTAAGTGAAAATATGTTAGTTCAGATTATGGCATTTCTGGGAAAATGTTTCCTTAATATAAGCTGTAATTATAAATTACAAATACATATGTAAAAGCGACAGATCACTTAGCCAAGGGAAGATGCAACACAAAAAAAGCACACCATGAGACTTTAGATAGAATATCATTATTCGTAATGATTAATGCAGAAAGCATGAAATGAAGCCAGTACGTTTATAAGCGTGGAGTTTGTGCCTTTAAAAAAAAATTATTACTCAAATATTTACCTTTGATACTTGAACTTTTGGAATTACTAATTGCTCCTTTTAAATTGTTTCCAGTTATTCATTATGAAAAGGAGGGGGACAAAAAAAAACACCAGAAATTATTTGAAAAAGTCACACACATATCTTTCCTTATGCTTTCAAAAAAGGCTTGTTGGCAAAGAAAACTTCTGCACTGGCACTGAGTACGTGGAAGCCGTTTCCCTGTTAGTATGAAAAACAAATCCCTAAAAGACAGCCATGTAATTTAAAACATATGAGACTTATCTCCTTGGCAATGACATGTGCCACAACTTCCTCTTCCCCTTCGGTTTTTCATAATGAGGAAAGGCCAATCCCTATAATGCAACTAACACCTTCTTGGAAAAGCAGAGAAGATGGCGAGTATATTTCTTCTTAAAGCCACTTTGTGTCCTGATCCTCAGATCTCCCATGATTTTTTTCCCCCAAAAGTATCACAAAATAAGAACATGAATTTACAACCTTCAGGTGAGATAGATATTACACTAAAACGATTCAAACTGTTCAGATATGGGCACAAGGGACAGCTGTGTCACAATGTGTACTGTGCTAAGGATTGTGAACATCATAAATACCCCAGATCACCTCAATACCTGTGGAGGTTCGGCTCTGTGTCTGTGAGAACTTTCCGCCATTCTGGGGGTAGGGTGAGTACCTTAGATTTTCTCTGCAATTTTAGTGAAAGAGCCTTCTGCTAATGAGCATAGGTTTCCCAGGGCAGGATTTTTGTTTCCTGTGGATCCAGCGTGAGTGGAAATGTTTTACCTCATGCAGAGGCCCGTTTCTCCCAACCGGCAACACTTTACTAATCGCAGTGGGTTAGTCACCTGGATTCAACTGCTCCCTTCTGAACAATTTCAAAAAATTAAGTTACCTCTGCAATCACATATAAGGGCATGGACCTCATCCCTGTGATCCTGGGATTATACCAGTGTGATTCCAAACAGCTGGTGTTGGGATTTGGGCTCTGGCCTGTCCGCTTAAAGGCACAGGTACTTCTGACAGAGGAAACACTTGAGTAGAGCAGCAGACCAGAGGAAACCCTGGTAGAATGTCCAAGAAGAACTGTTCCTGCCATTAGGTAGCCCCAGGACAGGTGCAAGCTTTAACAGGGAGGGGGACACATGTGCCCTGATCACCACAGGATCCTTATTCATTTAGCATAGGGATGTCATGAACTAAAGAGCCACTGAATCAATTCATTTTCTCATCTGTAAATTCCAGCTTTATAGTGGCTAAATAAGGAAGTGGAATGCATCTACTGTCTGGGATGGGGTAGAATAAGTGCGTTGGGAAAAATGAGACTTTCCCAATATTTGAGACTACTCATTTTTTTTGTTTGTTTGTTTGTTTTTAAATTATGTAGCAAGAGTAGCATTCAGCAGTGGGACAGTAACTGAAAAGCAAAAAGGGCCTTGTAAATGCTCTAAATTCTTTCTATCCAGACAGAAATAGCCATTTTAGGGAATGTTTATAAGGTTTATAAGGTAAGACCTGATGATATCTGAGGCTCATCGCTAAGCATAGCACATGCAAAGAACCCAAACCAACTCAACTGTCTTCACTGTCTCAGAGAGCCAGTAGAATAGATGTGCAAAGCCCATTTATTATTATTATTAATTATTATTATTTTTTATTTTTACTTATTATTACTTATTATTACTTTTTTACTTTATTATTATTTTTTTTATTATTGCCTATCCATGAATTCTGGCCAGTTAGACCTGGAAAGTCCTTTGTGAGTTAACCATTGTAAGACATATAGTCTTGCCAATATCTTCCCAGTGTGTGTTGTATATTTTCAATGGTTATCTGGGCTTAGTATAGAAAATGAGATGACTTAAAACTATAACCTGGGTTTAAGAGGATAAAATTAATATGTATTTCTGACAAGTTAGCCTATCATAGCTCACCTGCTGAGAAATTCATTCTTCCTAACCATAGTCCACAGCCGGGAGATGAAGGTACAGGACGAGTCAGGGATGAAGGAGAATGATGGAGAAAGGGAGAAAGAGACAAGATCAAAAAAGGATGACAGGGGACAGGAAAAATATACAACACTTCCAACATGCAGTCATTGACAGTGTTAATAACAACACCAGATCAACAAGGCAAGATGTTTTCACATTTCTAGGTTAAATCTGAGTGTACAGAGAAGGACTCGAGAAGTCAAAAAATAACAAGCTCACAAGACATACATACAGTTAGTGAAAAAAAAAATGGAAACTAACAGCTTTCACACATACTTGCCGACCAGAAAACAGGGAGAATAAAAACAAGATCATAATGATAAGACAATTCTTTTTCTCAAGCAGACAGCAACGAATAGTTTTTAAGAGCTAGGGTTTACAAAATTGCCATTCAGTTATTTGAAGCACCGTCCATCACACTTTATAAGCATTCCGTCCTCTGACATCCTGCATCTCTATGAGTAGCCACAGTAATGAGCCTCATATTTATTCAAACCAGTCATTTAAACTGGTCTTCACTCACCATGAGGTCTTACTTCTAAAATAGACTTAAACAGAGTCAGTAAGCAGGAGCATCCTGAATCCTTCCCTCCTCCCATGTATGTATAAATAAGACTCCTCCCAGTCTTATTTATGCCTGGCCTTTGGAAAGGAGGAACATCATGTTTTACACTTAGCCTATACACATGCCAGTGCCTACTCTTATCTCCATCTCGATTCTGAGTCTCACAATACAATGCTTGTGTGTGACCAGCAGTTGCACTCCTGTTGCATTTCTAGCAACTGTGCAACAATTTTCCCCCACTGTGTGAAAGGAACGATCATTAGACTAAAAATCCACTATTTTACAGTTTCAAGTGTGATCATTTCTTAAAGATGACTCCACAGTGACCTTTCACTAATTTGCTGGCAACAAAAACACCACACAAGGAGGTTGTCCTACCTTTCTTGGACTTCCCTGCATTTAACAGAAGACAAAAGGACAAAGATTTCATTCATTCTAAAGCTTACAAAGGACCAGTTCACAAGTTGTATAAAAGCCAATAACCATTACAACTTTAAGAGTTGAGTTCCTGGGCTCTTTGCTCTAAACTCAGTTCTCAAAGATCTTTGTTTGCCTGGCTCACGTTGTCAGTTTTATGAAAACAGTGCTGATCGAAGGAAGGCTTATACTTACACCATTGTCCTTGATGTATCCATTATGAATAAGCAGCAAAAAAACACAGTTCATTTAAGTTAATTATGTTAAGTCCCCCCCCCCATGATAAAATCTACTAAATTTGAGTAATGAAAACGTGTTAGGTGCAATTTGTTCAAAACCATGGAATTTTACTTGTTTGCTATTTTAGTGAAGGCAACAAGGTACCAGTAAAGCAATTCTAAATGAAATAATGATTCATCCCTCCTGGTCTGTGTGGGCCACCTGGATGGGCTTCGTGGAAAATCCTGTCAATTTTATGCTCCAGTGTGGCTCTAAGAACTGCAGTCCCTGTCCCTCCTCCTCTGGCTTCATAAGACACATCACGTCCGCTTTGATCAACACATACAAGATGGTTCTCTACTTCCTCAGAGGCTCTCTCATCAGCACCACATGAAACTCTTCAAGAAGAACCCCACTTCAGAGCTGCAGCAGGAAAGAATGAAGCTGCCATCTTCCCAGATGCTCCAAAGTGAAGGGCATCGATGAAGAACCAGGGCAGAAAGATAGGTCAAAGTCAATGGATTTTGCAGAGTACGTCCTAATGTGACCTCAGGGAATTGGGTCAGTTTTCCTCTAGGAACCTAGCATGGGGATTTCCATCATTTGATGGGCAAAGTGAGATCAGAAAACGAAAGATCAAACATCCTTTGGTTTCACCACATTCTCTTAAGAATCCTCTTACATAATAATGTTAATAGCTCTTGAATTTACAAATCTCTCCATTTAGTATAAAGGTCTAGTTTTTCTTATTCTTTACGAAAAAGACTTTTCACATAAAATAGGGCATTGTGGCCAATCCAAGCTTTGATGTCTTCAGCCAGTGGGAAAAATACGTTTAAAAAGTCTATAAATACCACAGGAAAATGCTTTCACAGAAAACAGACGTGACCCACAAGTGAACAATGAGGAATGACAGCCAGAATATCAAGACTCATTTATGTTTATTATTTATAAATCATAAGAGATATCTTAGCTTATTAAGAAATTATAGTAAAGAAAATAAGAGAAGCTTAATCAATTGCACTCGACTCACATGGTAACACTGTAAACCTTTCATGAGTTATTAACCTCTCTTATGAATACTACAGACTCTATTAACTCTTAAATCACTTCTAGTAATGACTCAAAAACCTCATCCAAGTGATATACTATATATATTACACACATACACACATTTTATATATACTGAAATTCATATATATATATATATATATATATACATTTCTTTTTTTAATGCTTATTTATTTTGACAGAGAGTGGGTGCAGGGGAGGGGCAGAGGGAAGGGGAGAGAGAATCCCAAATAGGCTCCACACTTTCAGCGCAGAGCCCAACATGGGGCTTGACCTCATGAACTGTGAAATCATGGCCTGAGCTAAAATCAAGAGTAAGATGTTTAACTGGCTGAGCCACCCAGGCACCCCGATTTATATCTATTTCTTTTCTTTTATATTCTTTTTTTTTTTTTTTTTTGGCAGGAAACCAGTGATTATCCCCTGGTACCACCGGCAGAAGGGCTGAACAGTCAGAACTGAATCCTGGCCTGCTTGGAGGGAAGCGTTCCAATCTCACAAATGCATGAATGCCCACCACTCTGTCAGCATCCCCCTTTATATCCTGGGTATTCCTCCATCACTGCATTTACCATATTTTATTTAAATCCTCTGTTATGTGTCTTTCTTCCTCACTGGACTACAAGCATGTCAGGGCTGACTGTGTCATTCATTTGTGTTCTTGGTCTCAGGCACCATGCCTGCTCAAAAGTTAGGGTCAAGATAGGCTACTGACCTAGATGGCTGTTAACACACATCTAATCCTCTCAAGGAGAAGCTCACCTCTGGGACTGTATTACTGTAATTTCTCCTAGCCCCACAAAGACTATTTGACAACCTCATTATAAATGCAATCTATTATCACAAAGAAGTAAAAGATGCTGAGAATCAAAGTCTACCTGAAACCTAACAATCACATAGAATAGAAGCTCAAACCACACTAAAAGGCCTTAGGGACTTCTGTCCAGGGCCACTAGTGTTCTATTTACTGTGCCAGCTCAGTGACTCTTGAGCATATGTTTCAAAAGTGTGGCTTAGCCACAGACCAGGTAAGTGGCTTGGTTAAGTGCCCTGGTGATCTCTCTGGATTTCAGTGGTGTCTCTTTTCTTTCTACCAAATGGGAAGGGTAGTAATGCTGTAGGGGCCTTCTTGTTTTAAGAATTCTATTGAATTTATAAAGTACAGTGGGTATATTTAAAAGGTACCAGCCACGTGTATAATAGAAAAAGTTACTTTAGTACAACAATAAGGAGATATACATCCTTCCCCCAAGAAGATTCATTAAGAATGAAACTGAGGGGGCACCTGGGTGGCTCAGTTGGTTAAGCATCCAACTTCAGATCAGGTCATGATCTCATGGTTTGTTGAGTTGGAACCCCGTGGTAGGCTCTGTGCTGACAGCTCAGAGCCTGAAGCCTGCTTAGGATTCTGTGTCTCCTCTCTCTGCCCCTCCCCCACCTGTGCTCTGTCTCTCTCTATCAAAAATAAATAAACGTAAAACAAAATTAAAAAAAAAAAAAAGAATGAAACTGAGGATCTGACCTCCTCTCGAATCGATCCCCAACCCTGTTCTTGCTCTCTCTCCCTGAGAAATTCTGATGCGTAACAAAAGCCATGATGTCTGATTCAAAACGTGCTTACCTCTGAGCATCCTCCGAGATTCTGAGTCTTTGGTCATGGTTGCCAGGGAGTGAGGCAGCACGCTGCCACAGCTGTTGCTCTGTCCCAGGGGCAGGTGGGCCTGTGAGAACCGGGGGGAAATGCTTCAGGTGAACCGCAGGCCAAATGGTCCTTCGGGACATGGCCTCATCCCTGTTTCCACAGCTCCAGTGCAAGCGCAGAGGGCAGGGAAAGTAGGGAGGAGGAACGAATGCGTCCCATTTATTCACACTCAATGGCCAAGGCCAGTCACCGACCCTTCCAAGGAGCTCCATGGCAGGCTCGACACCACAGTAATTTCTCCAGTGGCAGCAATTCCAAAAATGAAGACAGATGGGGAAACACTGTCCAAAACCACCTTAGAGAACAACTCAAAGTTCTTCATGCATAAGGAGCCGAGGGCAGATGCAGGGACAAGAATGCATGCAGATCATGCACAAAGAAGAGAAGATCTACACTCGTTCTAAGTGCACCCATTTCCGTCTCCCCGTGGCGACTGGAGAAACCTATCAACTACCCCAGCGGGTTTAGCACTCTTTCAAAATAGAAAATCCTTAGGGTAAAAAAAATACACTCGGAACACCAGTTCATAAAATAGATTCAAACCGAGTTACTCTGATTAAGGGGAAGGGAAGGTTCCAAAAGCCTGGCCCACTCGGAACCTCCTTCTCATTTGCCTCTCCCCCTCTTTCTGCAGTGACCCTCTGGATGTGTCAGCAAAACATGAGTGAGGACTCAAGTGTGACACCTGAGTGTGGGTTCGTAGTCCAGCTTCACTGCTAACCAGCTGAGGGCACTCTGCTTCTTTATCCCTCGGTCTGTCCATAAGTACGATGCGGAAAAGGAGTACCTCTACTGAACAGTGCTGCTGGATATTCAAATGAGGCAATCCACGGAAAGGGTTTATTCCAGGGTCGGGCATATAGAAATGACTCTCAATACATACTTGTTGCTATTATTCCTGGAATCCAGAGCGTCTATCCTCCAATTTCTAGATCTAGGAGGCAGTCATTGGAATCTGTCACCTAAGCGAACGCTACCCACCACTTGTGTGGTGGTGGAAAAAAAACCCTGGACCGGGGTCCTTAGGTCCCGGAGGGTACAATTCCAAGTGTCCCCTGAATCGGATCGAAAATGCAATACAGTTATATGTCTGCCCAACAAGCAAACTTAGTGGTTTATTATTCAGCATTTTCTTTAAGAGCCTTTGCACATTGGTCAATGCTAGGACAAGAAGACTCACTGATGTGAAGCCCGTGGTTCACCCCACGTCCTACCTTTGGGGTGGTGCTTCTCCCCATAGTAGCACTGCTGAAATGTGGGGATATGGAAGGTGTGGTTTTCTTTCGAGGCAAAGTGTCACTCAGATAGAGGCCTTCTTTATGCTGTTTTTTCCTTTCTTCCAGACTTCTAAAATGCTTTAAATGCAAATGTAAAGCAGAATAGCAAAACTTGACTAATTGGAACAGGTCACTGAAGAAATTAAGAAGTATGCATTCACAAAGAAGTTTTGGAATTTTAACACAGAATTAAAAAAAAATTCAGCTTATACTTGTGTTCACTAACAGACTAGGGCTAACATTCGATAAGATACATAGACACCGGAAGAATTTATTATTGGACCTAGAAACTTAAAAAAAAAAATCCACCTTTCACTTTCATAGATAGTGCCTGCTGCCTTGGGGCCTCAGGACAACTTACAAATTATTATGATGGCCGCCATGTGGATGGCGGAACAGCCAGTGGACAAAGCAAGTAAGCAGTTTCTCCCCTTGTCTGTCTGGACAGTTCTGTGTGCTGGCACAGATCCCAGTGTGAGGAGAACAAGGAAAGGGAGAAGGAAGAAGATGGAGAGAAAGAGCGAGTAAACAGGGAAGTTGTTTTAAAGTCGGAATATTTTAATTACATATAAACACTCCAAATCCATATAACGTTTCCATATAAGACACCCGACTAGGTTACTCTTTTATTTTAAAAAAGGATCTTGGTCAAGAAATCCCTGTAGTAGTTCCTCACATTTAAAAATCCTCCTGTTGACTATTTCTTTATTTTTTTTAGTATATATTCCTAAGGCAAAATTTTTGCTAACTTGAAATGTATCCAAATTTTTCTTAGCCTCCCCCAAAAGGTCTTACTTAGCAGTAAAGTTAATTCTTAATTAAAGGCTCTTAGGGTTTGATCATATTTAGACTAAGCTCAAGCTTTTGAAACACATAAAAATGAATGCAATTTGAGTTACCACATTTATGACTAATCTTCAAAGATGCCAATCGTGAAAAATATCTACATTTTAACCTCATAATTATCTCTTTATTCTAGTTTTTATTAACCTAAAACTAGTGAGGGGATATAGTCCTTGAACAAAAGGTAAAAGGCAGTAAAGGTAACTTCAAGAAAAGTAACAGCTGGGGGCGCCTGGGTGGCTCAGTCAGTTAAACGTCCAACTTCGGCTCAGGTCATGATCTCGTGGTTTGTGAGTTCGAGCCCCGCGTCGGGCTCTGTGCTGACAGCTCAGAGCCTGGAGCCTGTTTCAGACTCTGTGTCTCCCTCTCTCTCTGCCCCTGCCCTGCTCACACTTTGTCTCTCTCTCTCTCTCTCTCAAAAATAAATAAGCATTAAAAAAAAAAAGAAAGAAAAGTAACAGCTGGGCATAGCAAACCACAGCCCCTCTAATTTGGGGATCTAGTGACTATGATTCCTTAGCATCTTCTGGGCCAAACTCATATAGAAATTTGATTGTAGTTGAAAGGAACCTCAAAACAGATTTTTTTTGAACACCCAAGCATGAATATGCACTAATGTGCTTGAAGAAGGGTGACATTCATAATAATGAATTCCTTATTTAAAAATGTGATTAATAAAAATCTTCTATGACCCAAATGTCTTTTTTGTGGTGTGACGTTAGACAAGCTATTTACCTCAGGCAATAAGGAATTAATTCTTATTTCACAGGATTAGTAGAAGCAAGAAATGAGATATTTATTTGTAAAATGTTCAGCAAATTTTGACACATGGCAAGGGCATGATGTCTATTATTATGACTTCAGTAATGTGTAAGAAAACTATTTTGTGTTGACCCAGCAACTTTTTATACCATGGGTTTAATGGAAAAATTATTATCCTTTTGAAAAATACCTGAGATAAGTTGCAGTATTTTGGTTGAATAGGAACTGAAGCCTGAGGATATGAAACATACCTAGCTTGAACATATCAAAAGTCAGGAGAAGGCAATCAAGTTGTTGAAGTTTAGAACAATCCCCCACACCCTTAAAAAATACTAAATGGCCTTAAAAAAAAACAAAAACAAAAACAAAAACAAAATCCAACCAAACAAAAGAAAACCCAGCAAAGGAATATGTACTTGTCTTTTTAAGGATACCTTTGGAAAAGCTGATGGAAAGATTCCAAGTAAGTAACCTTGTTGTCAAGGTCAAGCTCTCAAACTCTGAACACCAGTGTCAAGTTACCTGTTGTTCCTGCTGCTGTGGCTGCCTTCTGTGTTTCTTAGCTGGTAGAGGAGGAGGTGTGTCATTTAAAGGGAAAGGATCGACAGATGGAGCCAGGACTTCGGGCCAAGGGGCTGATGGAGGTTGAGTGATAGGATGAGGAGAAAGGGTGGAAGGAAACATAAATCCAGAACAGACAGGTGATCTTTGCTTTATAGGAGAAAGAAAAAGTATACATGTGTCCATATGAAATGAAAGAATTAGACAAAGAAATGAAATCGATAATCTCATTATTCTGTTCTCTTGTGTTTTAATCAAAAGTCACAGATGACGGGCAGTATCTTTCAATTTAGTCTCTTGTTAAAATCCCACTCTGAGAGCAACCTGGATCAGTTAGAAGGTATTTTAATTTACTGTTATTTGCCCCTCCCCAGATGTTTTTAGAAGGCATAATATTAAAAAAAAATCCATACTGCACAACACAACAGAAAAAAAAAATCAAACTGGAAAAGCGATTCAAACTAACAATTTTAGGAAGGCTTTTTGTTTTCTATGAAAAGGGTGTCAGGTTAGAGTGCTACGATCTAGAGTTTATGGTTTTGAACTTAATTCTCCTACTACTCCACTCTGTACCATCCATCTCATGATTTCTAGTATCATGGCCGACAGAACAAGACCCCAAATTGGTACATTTTTCAAACCCGGCATCACTCCGGCCCGCTGGTCAACCAGATGTATACTGGTCACACACACCTTCCCTTTCAGGTAATCATGGGTTAATCTTTGACATGAGGAAAGCAGTGAATGAATGAAATGTCATGCCAACACACCTCTTTATTTTGTGGCTGGCTCACCGGCACAGCTGTGGGAGGCCCAGTGGCAACAGCATCAGCATCAGCAGGGAACTGAGAGGAAGGGGATAGATTCGTGGAATTGACACATGGCTCATTAATTTCATTTACACTGATATAGCCCTAAAAGGAGGAATTCAGAAGTTAAACACAAAGAAAGCAAAAGCTGAGGCATGCGAGAGTATTAATGCTCCCAGTACAATGGAGTTAGCTTTGAGCGGCACAGCCAAATATCTGTGGTATTACCAAATGTTTCATTAAGGGAATCATCAGCCATTAAAATGGATTTACGACGCTTAATATTGAAAACTGATACGCCAAACACTACAAATACGTTTTTGGGAGGTGAAATCAGGATGATTATATTATAAATAACCCGTGCCTTCGATTTCAGAATATCCAGAGGTATCAACCATTCATTCTGTTGACTGAATGAGGGCGTCACTATACAACATTTAAAATAATCACATACACGAAAATCTGAGATATAAAATTTATAGTGCAATCACTCATACTTCAAGAGCTTTTCCCACAAATCATTATTTTTAGATTTTCCCCTTTTCTTCTGTTTCCTGATGAGTTAGAGTGTGAGTAACAGTAGGCCGAGGGCTTCTGGGTTTTGTATGAAGACATTTTATAAGCAGTCATTTATTTGTAATGGAATCTAGCTTTCAGGCATCTCACCTAAATGAGAATAAAAGAGATACTCATCCGCTCATGAGCCTTCCCTAGCAAGACAAATGTGTACACACACACACACCACACACACACACACACACACACACACACACACACACACACCCTCAGGTGGAGTTGTAGCTCGAGGCTATTTCAATTCCAGGTAGCTTCCCCAACTCTCAGCTCTACCCCAGGACAGAGAATTGCTCATTGACTTTTAAGTTCAGCGATTCAGTTCCAGCTTCAGGTTAGAGAACATGTCTGTGAATCAAAACCTGCAAGAATCAAAACTCCTCCATTTATATTTGAGGAAAAGGCACTTATAAATTTTCATCCAAAATAATTGTACCAACCAATCATGATTTTCACCACACCAACAAAACAGTTGGAAAAAATAGAATAAAGAATACAGAATAGTATTTCTCTTTTAAAAGTAAAATTGAGTGAAATTTAACACTTGGGCTCTTCTATTAGCCCATCAATCCTTTAAAAAAGTGGCTCCAGGGGGGCACCTGGCTGGCTTAGTGGGTTAAATGCTGGACTTCAGCTCAGGTCATGATCTCAGCGGTTCATGGGTTCAAACCTCGCGTCGGGCTCTATGCTGGCAGCTCAGAGCCTGGAGCCTGCTTTAGATTCTGTGTCTCCCTCTCTCTCTGCCCCTCCCCTGCTCCCACTCTCTCTCTCTCTCTCTCTCAAAAATAAATAAATATTTTAAAAAAATTTTAAAAGAAAAAGTGGCTGCAGGATAGGTAAGATATCATTATGCTGGGGAAGCAAACTTTTCAGGCTGGAAAGCAAGGTTTTACTGAGAATTTATAATTACAACAATTTGAGAAAGCTAAAGTTGACTCTTTTATAAAATTGTAGTTTTAAAAATGCTGCTGAGGACAGTCTTGCACTTCATGGCAATATATACCATGTAAAGTTTCATAAGATTAAATCGAAGAAAGGAAGTTGACAACTGGGTTGTTAAATTTCATTTTCTATTTGATAATGAATGAGGGTGAAGAGTCACCACTTTAAATTATTCTTTTGCTCAGTTGACAGTGCAGTGCTTCAAAACCAACATTTCATTCTTCACACGTCATAAACCATATGACCTAATTCATTGCTTCGAAAATGTATGCCATTCATCAAAAGTGGGACTTGTTTAAAAGAGTTGTATATAAATTAATCACTCTGTAAAAAAATAGAGAGAGTGAAGCAGTGAATGAGAGAGAGAGAGAGAGAGAGGGGGGGGGGAAGAAAGGAAGAAATTCAAAACATCCCATGAGCTAAGTCAGCTTAGTCCATGAAAGGGAACATAGCTACTCAACAAACACAAGCGTTGGAGACATACAAAGAGTCAAAAAGCCAAATGGGCTTTTGGCAACAGGGAGTCTTCAGAGAAAAAGAATCCATCAACAGAAAAGGAAAGATTTTATTATTATACTAAGAGGTAAAAAGATCCAAGAGCCTAATTCATTTGGATGCCACAGTGCCTCAAACTCAGTATGTCCAGAATCAAATTGCACATCTTCCCTCTTAACCTACGCTTTCTCCTGTCTTCACTACCTCAGGAAAAGGTCCTCATTATCAGGCTCATTATTCAAACTGGAAAAATGGCATCATTCCCAACACCTCCCTTCATTTACTTCATCCTCACATCCAATCTATCAGCAAGAACTGTCAACTCTGCTCCAAAATTTATCCACATCGAGCTAATTCTCTCCCTCTCTCTGCCATGGTGTGAAGGCAAGCCACCAGCATTTCCAGCCTGTACCACTGCAATAACCTCCTTCCTTGGTTCCTCTGTTTCTCCTCCTACTCCTTAGAACCCAGAAGAGCAGCCCAGAGTGACATTTAACAAGTGGACATTGAACAATGTCATTTCCCTGCTTAAAACCACTCACTCCGTGATAACCCAGACATGTATGATACGCCATATTTCTTTAACATGTCTCATAAGGCCTGGTCCCCACCCACCTCACTGACATTCTCTCCTTCCACCATACTCCAACCACTATTACCCTTTGTTCACGGAATCTGCCGGTTCTGTGTTCTGAATAATAGAGAGGAACTACAAAACTAAATGAGCTAATAAAGCTCTTGTGTAAATAGTTCAAATTGCTTCCGAGGTACACATTATTCATACTTATTGTGTGATGAACATTTACTTCATATACCTACACACACACACGTGCACACACACACACACACACACACACACACACACACACACTACTCCCTATATAGGAAGTCTTAACTCTGCTGCCTTTTAAACAGATACTTGTAAATAAAGTGGGGTTTTTTGTTATTACACAAATGTTTATTCTGTTATTACACAGAAGCAAGCTTTTTCTTTAGCTTTCTGGAAAAAATAAAAATAAATAAAACTATTTTGTATTGGAACAATGATAGCTCCCTTTGTGGTGAACATAGCATAATACATAAACTTGCTGAATCACTGTGTTGTGCACCTGAAGTTAATGCAACATGGTGTGTCAACCATGCTAAAGAAATAATGACTATTTTCTTTTTCAGTCAGGGTTATAACCAAATTAGAGTTAAAATATTCTCGCATTGTAGCGGTGTAGCTCCATAAGAAGATATTTCAAAGGTGGATGTTTGGAATAAAGAGTGTATATAGCTTAATGTAAATAGTATTTTCTAATTTAAGGAGGGAAGTAGCAGAAACATCATTGGGGGAAAAAAGAGACAGAGAAAGGAAGAAGCCAGACCATCTTATCAAATGTGCAGAGGCATTTTCACATGCTATCAGACTTAGGAGAAAGAGACATAAAGTAAGAAAGAGGAGGAACCAAAAAAGAAAATTTCAGAGAAGAGAATTTAAGACTAGTATTGGTTTGAATCCCAACTTGTTTGAAACTCCAAATTAACCCACAATGTCACTGTCAAACAGTCTACACACACACACACACACACACACACACACACACACACACACACCGAGTGCATCTGCATTAGACACAAAGATAATCCCTGAAATCTTCAAAGCATAAATAAAAGGCAGGGAAACCATAAAAGCATTGAACGCTTTCTAAGTCACTTAAGTGAACGTTTTCCTATTTAGCTGATCACATAAAACTGAGGCACATCTCTTGATTTCCAAGGTGATACGAATGGACATGTAAAATCATAGCTTACCTCTTTTAGAGTACTGGGGTTGACAGGAAACCCTTTCCCCCCAGTGAGGCTGGAGTATTTCTTTTCCAGATTACAAAGATTTTCTTTTTCCTGAAGGAACACAAAATCTATTAAGCTTAGTCAATCTTAGATTTCCCTGGTGACTAATGATAGCAAGTATTTTTTCATGTGACTTATTGTCTCTTCGTATATCTTTTTTTTTTTTTTGTGAAGTGTTTGTATTCAGTTCTTTTGCCTGTTTTTTTTTTAATTATTTATTGAGTGTCTGTTGGCCATTAATGAGTTATAGGAGTTTTTGTTATTTTCTGGGTATAAGTCCTTTGTCATTCTCTCTTTAAAAAACCTTTGCTTATCCCAAGGCCAGGGAAGTGCACTTGCAGTCCTACATTTTCTTCTAGAAACTTTATCACTTTAATTTTTATGTTGAGGGCTACAATCTGCCTTGAGTTAATTTATATGCATAGTGTGAGGACAGACGTGTTAGCGCTCCTTTTCTCCCCATGTTTACCCACTTGATCCAGCACTATTTGTTGGAAAGATTTTCTTTTCCCCACTGGATTAATTGTCTTGGAACCCTCTGTCAAAAATCAATAGGCAGTATATGTGTGGGTCTATTTCTGGGCTTTCTGTTTGGTTCCATTGATCTGCATGTCTGGCTGTGTGTCAGCACCACATCATTTTAAATACTATATAGCTTTAGAGGCGACCTTGAAATCAAATAGTATAAATCCTCCAACTTGGTTCTTGTTCAAAGCTATTCTGGTTATTCTATGCCCTTGGCATTTTCATACAGAGTTGATTCTTATTACTTGTAATTCTTATGTTCTGTAACATTGCTGCGAACACTGCATTAGTAAATACTGAATTGTTGTTCCTATGGAAAAGACAGAGTTGGGTTACTGTGGGCTTCTGGTCGAAATCATTTCATCAACTGATCAATACATAATTTTGCTTTCTGGGTGTTCATGTTCAAAGGCATCTTATTTAAGATATATTGCTGATTACTAAACACTGAACTCACATCTAACAGCACTATAATTCATGCTTGAATAAAGCTCTTTTAACACATGCATTTTTTCCATAAGGCACATCACAAACTTCCTGCCCTTAGGAACAGTAGACAGTACATTAGCACTATGCTCGGGAGGTAATTTAAACAGCAAAATCATCAATGAAAAGCACAAAAAATGTGAAAACATAGCATGAAATAGCCCACAAAAAGGACACATCTCTTTACTCTATGACACTTGGAGCACAAAGGCAGAGTGTTGCTTCGTTCAACCTCAGTTGGGACGGTGTATGCTGAGTGATTACAAATTGCCACCGTTCTGCACATGTCCATCAATGAACCATAAGACAAGTATTGATTTGGGGCCTACAAATAGATCTTAGTGAGCCGGCAAATTCACAAATATAAACTTCATAAATAATGCAGATCAATTGTAAATTTTAGCATCAACTTGTGTCAATTTCTATAAAAAGAGTCTGTTGGGATTTTGATCGAGATTGAGATATATCTAGGGACACCTGGGTGGCTCAGTTGGTTGAGCATCTGACTTCATTTCAGGTCATGATCTCATGGTTCATAGGTTCAAGCTCTGCATCGGGCTCTGTGCTGACAGCTCAGAGTCTGGAGCCTGCTTTGGATTCTGTGTCTCCCTCTCTCTCTGTCCCTCCCTGACTCATGCTTTTTCTCCCCATCAAAATAAATAAACATTAAAAGCTTTTTTATAAAGATTGAGATATATCTCTAGATCAATTTGGGAAAACATAAACCATAACCTTTAGACCACAATTGTTAGAATAGAATTATACTTTATATATTTTTAAAAATAATTTTTTTTTTCAACGTTTATTTATTTTTGGGACAGAGAGAGACAGAGCATGAATGGGGGAGGGGCAGAGAGAGAGGGAGACACAGAATCGGAAACAGGCTCCAGGCTCCGAGCCATCGGCCCAGAGCCTGACGCGGGGCTCGAACTCCCGGACCGCGAGATCGTGACCTGGCTGAAGTCGGACGCTTAACCGACGGCGCCACCCAGGCGCCCCAATATACTTTATATATTTTAATGAGAAAGTGGCATTTCTATGATTGTGATTACCCATTTAAAAAATCTCTCTCTTATGAGACTTTCCCCCCATTTTTCCTAAAGGTTCAGAAACCACTTAAATACTACATATTACACTATCTAATTTAAGCTGTGCCTTTGACTATCACATGCAAAGGGTGATGGGGAGGTTAGTGGAACCAGAGTTCATCCCCAGAACAGGAGACAGGGATGGAAAATATACATCCATTCAGAGATTTCCAGGTGCTGAAGAAGCAGGAGGAGGGGAGATATCAGGGATCTGTGTGGGCTACATAGGCACCTTGAGTGAACTCATAATTCTATGTGAAGGACCATTTCTCTCTCTCTTTTCAACCTAAAAATAGCTGAGTAGCTAAGATGAAAATAGTGCAGCTACATTTCTTCTAGGTGGGACCACGGTGCAGCCTCATCCTTTAATCCATCATTCTTTCTCCTTGTACCCCATTCTGGGTCCATCTCATGTTTTCAGGACCACCTCCTAGGTAGTGGCCTGGATACAAGGCTCAGTCCTGAGACTAGCCCCATTAACTTTACCTCTCAGCGTCTTAGACCTAACATTAGGCCAGGGACTATGTCAGAAGATCAGGCTGCAGGTTGGGCAAAGGAATCCCTTTAATGCAGCCATTTTAGGTCCTGGGCAGATGGGAACACACAGTCCCTTTGGAGAGGATGATCTTGTCACCCATGTAGGATGTCTCCCTAGTTAATTAAGCCTAACTAAGCTCAGTGTGGCAATTTGCCACATGCAAATAACGAGTTAAAAATACCACAGCAGCGGAGCCAAATATTTGGTAGTGGCCAAAAAAAAAAAAAAAAAAAAAGAAAAAAAGAAAAAAAAGAAAAAAAAAGCAGAATATGTTCTGCCTATTTGATGAAAAATACGATTTAAAAGAGGAAAATCAGAAAATGTACATATTTTCCATAATTTGAATTTTCACACTGGAAAAAGCATGAGGAAAATGTCCTTGCCTATTTTCTGAATTATAGTTAATTATTCACAGATCATCAGCTTATTAATGTGGAGGATTAAATACAAATATATATTACAAAGCTTCTTTAAATTGTAATTCACTATTCACAAGTAAAAGGTACTTGCTCTGAAGGAAGCAACTTTCCCCAAGTTGGCACCTGAGTTTTCTTGCAACCAGAGCTGAAAAGGAAATACTTACTCTTTGCAACATCATTATCAAATTATTCTTTTCTTTTACAAAATGATCTTGTTCTCTCTGAGCCTGCTGAACAATGTGATTGGCTTGCTTTTTCAAGGCAGAAATCTTTTCCTGCAGGGAAAAACATGATCATATGTAGATGCATGTTAGACAATTCAAAAGTTTGCCAGTATGTTCTGGAAAAGGGAGGAAAGTGTTTACAACTGGATCAGCAGCGGCCACATTTTCGTTGGTGGTAGCCAGTGATTATCATTACCCAGAGACTGTGAGATAGTTTCTCTGACCTCCCAAGCTCAAGGCTTTTTCTTTACCTGAGGTCAATATAGTCCAAGTGACTTAAAAATCTATTTGAAGAATCCAGAAGTCAACAGGAAATCTTGTTTTAGATTATAAATGAATTTTTGACATCATCTTGGGAGACGCCTTATGGAAAAAATAACAATGGAATTTCTTATTTAAACTGAGAGCTTAAGATGTCAACTTCTTCATCTTCCTTTCCCTGAATTTTATTGGTTTAGTACCGAGCCCTGGGATGTGAGTCTAAATTTTGGAAAAAGAGGTGAATCCTGGGCTGGACATCTGGGTGTGGCCACTGGGTGGGCCAGCAATGTGCATGGCATTCCACGGGGTTATTTCTAATGGTTGTAAGCTACCAGTTAGCTTGACAACTACGAACAATGGCAACAGACAATTCCAAAATAGGCTTTGTTCACAGAGTTATTCTAAATCCAGTTACTATGATTGCAAAAGCAAGTAACTGAAGACAAATATTTAGATTTCTGATTTTCTCTCCCTTGGTTTCCATGCATGTGAAACAACCGGATATTATTTCTAAATGCATCTGTAGCATTAAGTAATGATAACTAGACCACATGCCAGTTTATCTAGTTTGGAGCACCCCATGGTATATAGATGGCAGGCTCCATACTCTTTCCAGCGTCACATGCGGTTTCACACACAGAGATGTTCAGATATAAAGACTGGTAGACAGAGAGAGAGAGGTGAATTGGATTTTTTACACTGAATGACGCCTGGCTAAAGTACCTTTCTGGTAACAATGTTCCGTTGATATTCGGCTACTTCGCGCAGGAGCTGTTGGGTCAGGTTCTCCTTTTCCTCATCCAGGCGGCTCTCATGTTCAAGCTGCTGGAACTCCAAGTCTTCAAAGTGTTTGCTCTCTACATCCAACAGGTCAGCATCCTGGGGAGAAAACAAAATGAAAACAAGACATACCAGGATGGCTGCAGCCTTCTTAACGTGAAGAAAAAATTATTAAAAGCAAACAGTCCAAAATATCTTTTCGATTACTATACTGACCAGGGTGGGAACAAGATAATCCTCTCTTTTGGAGTTAAATCCCAGAGCCAAGGCCATTAGTGTGGTATTGAAAGGAACTGGGGGTGGGAGAGGAGCATTTATTTGACTCAGTTTTAGACTGTTCTGTGGATGTTGGAATTCCTTTTTTTTAAGTTTATTTATTTATTTTGAAAGAGAGTGAGCACGAGCAGATGAGGGACAGAGAGAGAGAGAGAGAGAGAGAAAATCTGCGCTGTCAGCACAGAGCCCAACACTGGCTAGCTCTCATGAACCGTGAGATCATGACCTTAGCCGAAGTCAAGAGTCGAATGCTTAACTGACTGAGCCACCCAGGGGCCCCTGGATGTTGGAATTCTTGCTTTAAATCAATTAAGTGGTTTTAAAATAGATCCTAAGGTATAAAAAGACTCAGTAAACTACTAAACATTATCTGCAGACCAAGGTGTGACATGATCTCTTGAGAAAACTCCTATTTTCCACAAATTTTCAAATGAAATGAGAATTTGGCGTAGAGATCAAATTCAAGATCCCAAAGTTATTGACTATAAAAAAAGACTCAAACTCTGGCACACATACAGATTAGAGGTCTCTAAGAGGGGTATGTGTGCCCCCAGTGGCACACGACACAATCCCCTGGGGTATAAGAAGAAACTATTAGACCTTCTTCATATTTATTTTTAGTTTTTCTTGTCTTTTACAATTTCTCAATAAATGTTCTCTACTGTATATTAAGGTAGAGTCTATGTACACTATTTTGAATAAACATATATTTTTGAGCACATATGCAGTATACATATTTATAATATTATACATATTTATAATATTATAATATATAATATCATATATATAGGCATGTATGATCAAATAATTTTATTTAAAAGAGAAGTCATTGAAAACAGTTTGAGGTTGGTATTTTTACACTGGGCTTCTGCGAATCCCATAAAATTGCTTACAAAGATTTTTACTGGAAAGAGTGGAACCCCAGCATTCATTAGGCACAAAGAGTCACTCAAATGGTTAAGCACTACTATTTGGGAACAATTTGAAGACATTTAAGAAAGATCAGAAATCACAAAAATCAGATGGTCTAGGACAGGTATTTCCTAACCTATGAAATGTCTGAAGACAGACGTGAATCTGTATCTGTGCAGAGTCTGGCTCATGTTGTATAAATTATTCTTCAATTTACATGAAAAAAACCTTAATTTTGGAGCCTTTGACAAAACCATAAATGTGGTATGTACAGAATATTTTTAAAAAATATATAATTTGTAAGTAATATATGGCCAAAAGAAACAGCAGCTAGGCTATATGGTTTACAACTCTACATAGGTAAAACAGCCAGGGCATTTTTTTTTTCAACCAAAACATCACAAAGAGTTGGATAAATTAATATGATAAATGAGATTTATATCAGTTTTTAAACATACCACCCCCTTTTTTTATGTAAGTGATAAATTGAGCCTTTTAATCAAATGGAATAATACGTTTCTGCCTTCTGGAATGAATTTTATTCTGGAGATGATTCATAGAAGGACTATTAGCTACCATGCAATTACAAGCAACACTATAGCAACAAGATTATTATGTCAACACAGTGGATTCTGAAAACTTAAGAGCAGGAAAAACAGTTTGAAAAATATATTCAGCATTTCTTAGCACTTTTTTATATTTTAATTGGCCAAACAGAAAGTGGTCTTGGTTTGAAGTTTTTGGTTGACATTTCAAGTTTATCAGACATGTTATGCTTATAACTTCTAAAGGAATTAATGCATTTGGACCAAATCTAGTCACTATAGAAGTAATTAAGAGAGAACTCAAGTATCATGTCTTGAAACAAAATACCTGTAGTCTTGAAGCAATACATCAGTGAATATATTTACCCATGTGGTCATACATGCCCAAGTTTTTAAGGTCTTTCCATTAAGTTTGGTTTGTGGCTAAAGATTATTGAGATAAATAATTCCATAAACTTTTTTTTTTAGTATATAAATAATCTTTACTTGAAGTGGGCATCTGTCTCACAATATACACACTATGCCACTCAGTCACTTATTCCACATCTGGTTAAAATGCAGCATTTGTTATCTTAACCCCATGAAGGTCACAGAGCCACTAATTTGTAGTAAATATTTAAACTGTTGCATGACAATAACAGCACACTGGGTAGGAAGGTTGAAAGTTAAAGCTAGGCTGAGCACTCAGAATCTGCTGGTATAATCATCTGATCAAGTTATCTAAACAATTAGAATGTGTGTATGTAAACTTACACTGTAAGAGAAACACAACTTGGTGGGGGAAAAAAGCTTGCAAAGATTTCGGATAAGAATAAGAATTCAGGGGATGGAATTTGGGGGCAGGAGTAGCTTAATTGAGCACAGAGTAATATATACAGGAAGCTCAAAGTCAAGGCCATGACTACTTGAATGAACATTGTAACTCAACTTCACTCTCTAAAAGGAACATTACAAATCTCTACTGGCTGGCAACCTCAAAGGCCAGGAGTGAAAGGAGATAAAACAGCTGCATTCAAGAAAATTCAATGCCATTCCTTCTTGCTAATAATTGTTTTGAGAATTTATATGGCAGAAGTTTATGTGTAGACCTTAATGTTTTCTTTGCTTAGCAGAGGGACAGAAGAAGAGAATAGATATGGTATGTGGTACAGTAACAATCTCATGACAGCTCAAGGCCAACTTTGAAAACAAATTTAAGTGGGGCTCAGGATTTGTTAACATTTCTCCATCTTATGCCCAATAGTCAAACACTTTAACAAATGCACATCTTTGGAATTTGGAAGACAATGGAAATCATTAAAGCAACCTCCTCATTTCTTAATATGAGGACACTGAGGCCCATAGAGGTTGAATGACTTGTCTAAGGTTAAAGGAGAAACTGGTTGTAGAGCCAGTGAGAAAAATGGTCTCCTAATTATAGATATCACTGAATATATATCCATATATATATATATATATATATTTTTTTTTTTTTAATCAAGAGACTGAAATCAACCATTCAGTTGAGTAAATCATCAAAAGCATCTGAAAACTGTCCTAGTCAGGTGTCTCCTTCGTTTAATAGTAGAACTTATCCTGGCAAACAAAAGACACCTTTAACTTCTGCTTTCTTTTCCAAAATGCTTGCATCCCAGGGAACAATTCAACTGGTGAGCCCATGTCTAGTTGTATGTATACAACTACTCAGACAGAAACCGCATTCTGATTCTAAGGCAGGGAATTAGATATAAGAAGTCTGGGGTGCCTGGTGGCTCAGTGGGTTAAATGTTTGAATTCGGCTCAGGTAATGATCTCACGCTTCATGGGTTCAAGCCCCACATCGGACTCTGTGCTGACAACTCAGAGCCTGGAGCCTGCTTCATATTCTGTGTCTCCTTCCCTCTCTCTCTCTCCCTCCCCAACTCATGCTCTGTCTCTCTCTCTCTCTTCACACTCTCAAAAATGAATAAACATTAAAAAAAAAAAAAAAAGAAGACGGAGAAGTCCAGTCATAAATCCATAGTTTTGTATGCAAAAAAATCATTCCAGAATTTCAGCTTAAGTATTTGGGACAACACATGGTTTAAGAAAATGATGTTCTTCTTTTTTATTTTTTTATTTTGTATGACTCGCCACCTAATGAAATTCGTTGTAATAAAACCACCTTTACTGGATCTAGTTTAAATGCCTCAGGAAAGCTTTGTAATGAGGTGGTATTCTGATGTGTTTGAAGTCTGAAGGGAAATGAGCTGTGGTAACACAGGAAGTTCTTAGCATGAACGGACTTCTCATGAACTAAGTGAACTTTTTACTGATTAGGTCATGGGATTGGTGAAAAGTTACTCTGGTCGTCATCCTTGTAAAATAGAATCCGTAGACTTCTTAACACAGGTGAACAGAACCTACTACTACTACAAGCCAGTTATCTCTCCCAAGGACAGGGGTTTGCAATACGAATTTTACACTCCGCTTGGAGAGGAAGAAGGTGTCTCTGCCTTGAAAGAGTGGAATATCCTGTCCTCCTTTGCAGTCAACATCCTTAGAACAGACATAAGTTTATAAGTTATCCTGTAGAGGCTAGATGAAGCCTTATTTGTATCAGTCTGAGTCCAGGTTCTTAATAAAATCCTCCAACTGTTATGTGCAGCCATGTTGATAAAGAAGGCAAAGCAATAACTAGGTAACCAGAGGCAGAGAAGAACAAAACATAGAAGTTGCTGCCGACTCTAAATAAAGTCTTACGGCCACTGTGTAAAATCTTCAGTAATAAGGAGAGTTGAAAAACAGGAAACAAATATAAAAGTCCGTCTCTCAGTCTCTTTGGTGAACTGGCATAAACGCAAACAAATTGCAAATGAAAATGATTTTACAAATACAATTATTTTCCCCAATCGTTTTTATCACAAGATTTCCAGAGAATTATGACATTGAGGGACAGGAAGTTTTATCTTCTTCCAGCAAATTCAGCTGTATACAATAACATGAGTAACAAGGAAGAAACACTGCTGGGACTTTTTTGATCCAATATTAGTAAGAAATTTACTATTTGTTAAAATATTAAAATCATTATGCTTCAGGTAAACCTGTCTGCCTTTGGTACTATTTATTAAGAATCTTTCAATCTCTGTGATACATTGAAGTTTCAGATGTAATTTTTCATAACCTGGTGATACTCTAAGGTATCAAATATTTTTGTATTAAAAGCAATCTTAAACATTTTCAAGGGTGGCTCTCTTAGCGGATGTTTCAACTTGCCTACTCCCAAGAATGAAATGTGCTTTCTTTTCTAATCACATGGAATCATAAATTGTTAGTCACTTCACACAAACTACTATTACGTGACTCCTTTCGAGACCTCAGACCGTTCATGACTGCTCCGCCAAGGTCAGAGTTTATTTGGGTCGCTGTTTATAGCAAATAACTCAGTTGATGAGAGACTCTGAAATATCAAGTGGTCTTGCTGGTGTTAGTGAAACTATCTACCCCAGGAGCCTCATTTCAGCGGATAACCAGCGTGGTCGCGGTGAGCACTGCCAACTTTAACGATCGGAGAATAAAGTCCAACTACAAAGCCCATGCGGCACTGAGCTTTAAAAAATTACGAAGCTCGCCTGAGAAGACGTTGAGGGCATTGACCTGCAGGTTGGGCCTTGGCGTTTGCTGTGGTTGTGCTAATGAGTTCAATGTCACTAAGAAGCAGAAAGAAAAAAACAACAACAACAACGAGTGATGATGGGAAGCAAGTCAGAAAATAGGATAATTTTTGGACCAAAGTATAAAATCATCCAAGGGCAAACAGTACTCATGGTGTAGCAGAGAGTGCAGGGAAAGATGTCAGCCGATTTAAATGCTACAATCGTGGTGTCAGTTATATGTCAGGAATAGCTCTCTTTTATTCTGGAGAATGACTCCAGGACTGTTTCTGCATTAGAAATTAGTGAAGGATTCTGACAAGGAGTTGTTTAACTGATTAGCATGAAATAATATATATATATCGTCAGCATGCATATTTCTATTTAAAAAGTATCTAATGACTAGAACTTATGCAAATTTACGCTACGTGAAGTAGAAGTCATAGGTAAGTGGAACTTAATCGAAAAGACACCAAAAAACAAAAACAAAAAAACCTGGCACATTCCTGTTTGCTACTGACCCTCTTCAGTTGTTGTTGTAATTGTTCCCTCATGGACTCAGGACAATTGTCCAGCTGGGTCTTCTGCTCGGAGTAAAGCTCCTGAAGCCTCTCTAGTTTTTCCCTTTCAGCATCAAGCTTTACCTTCTCCTGAAGTTCAGAAATCAGAAAATAGAAGAACAGAAATTACCTTCATACCCGAGGCAGGCGTTAGTGAATATTTCCCAAGGGTAACACAAACACACATACGCACAAATGAGATACCCTATGAATATTGAAACGTACCTTGCTAGTGACTAAGATAAGGGGGTATAAGTGGAAGTAAAGACAAGGGGGTCCCATTTCTGCATTCTCAAAACAGGGCCCACTTTACTGAGTGTAGGCAATGACCCCCGCCTTTCCTTCCATTCCTCCTTCCTTCCACCACGTTACAGAGCGAAGGAAGCAATGGCGATGTTGGTCAACGGTCAACCAAGAACAAAAGAAATGCCAACCAAATTTATAAGACAGCCTTGCAGAGAGTCCCTTGGCAGCGAACCAGACAAAGGAAACCAGGCATTTACCTCAAGTACTGTCGTGCTCCAATTTACTCAAGGCATTTGTTAAGCAAGCTTTGGAAATTATTGTAACTTTGTTCTCAGGTCGGAAGTCTGCCAGATGCACTAGCTGTCTCCCCGGTCATCTGAAATAGGTCTAGCTGTTTAGCAAACTTCAAAGCTTAAGCAATTAGAAAATCTGATTCTAAGAGGAGCACTGAATTCAAAGGCTGAGAGAGCAAGGGAGAAGTCAAGCCTGACAAAACAGCAAGGGAAGGCGTATTGTGCAGTTCAGATACACCAACAACGTGTGACGTTTACTGTGGAGATGAAGACTTCTCTACACTGACTGACATAAGAAATACTTGAAACATGGATTATGGGGAAAAGGAAAGGAGAACACCGGGAGTCAGAAAACAGAAGAGAAAGGAGGAGACAACACTCAGTCCTTCCCAGTCACACACTCCAAGGTGACTCTGGATGCAGGTCTACCAGACAAATCCTGTAATTCAGTGACTACCCAGCTTGATGTGTCACCTATTGAGTCGAGAAACAATACTTCAACCTGTGTAGTTCTTGTCTTCCCAACTCCTGTTCTCTTCATGAGGCTCTGAAGCCTTGAAGGCTAAATTTTACCTGTTGTAACTCTCTCCGCCTACACAGCCTACTTCATGAAGCACTACCGTGGCTTGACCCTCAGTACACACAGTGACCACCACCTGACTCTCCTTAGTTCATTCTATGCGCACTGGTGGCGGTGACACCGCCTTCTAAGCATTATCAGAGAAGGATTTGTTTAAAAGCTGAAGCTCCTGCAGTAGTCCTATAAAATTATACTTACTATAATGTCTTCATCCAAATGGCCACGATTTCCTGGGTAAACATATATTTAAATTCTTTACAAAAGAGGTTATGGTTTAAATCTAAAACTGTACGACACAAAAACCCATACCAGTTCCCGGAGGTCTCCATTTTTGGCAGAAAACTTGAAAATGTCAAGGGCATTTTAGAAATGTATATTCAGGGGTGCCTGGGTGGCTCGGGCTTAGGTTAAGCGTCTGACTCTTGACTTTGGCTCAGGACACGATCTCACGGTTTGCGAGTTCGAGCCCCTCATCGGGCTCTGTGTGGACAGTGTGGAGCCTGCTTGGGATTCTGTCTCCCTCTCTCTGCCTTTCCCTTGCCTGCTTTCTATCTCTCTCTCAAAATAAAAAAATAAAATAAAATAAATAAACAAAAAAAGAAATGTATATTTAGATTTAGAAGTACATTCTTTCTTCTCTCAAAATGATTAAATCCAGAAGTCATAAAACTGAGAATCCTATTTCCTATATCAATCTAAAAATCCTTCTGCAACTTCCAGAGACTATCCAGAAAGTTCTTCAGTCTTTAATGGCAACTGTGTCCACCATGCACATGGACAGTGCAGAAGTTGGAGAGAGAATGGCATGGTTCACAGAATGAAGGATTATCATGTGTTCATTCACAGTAAGGTTCAAAACACTAGGGCCACTTAGATTCTTTCTTTAGTTTCAGAATGAATCATTTTTTTCCCCTTTAATACAACCAGCAATACAAAACACCTGTTGACTTTTGGATAAGAAAATGTATTATTTCTTCTGTGTATGGATCAAAGATTGCCCTATTTACACAGCAAAAGAATTTGATCCAATGGGGCGCCTGAGTGGCTCAGTCGATTGAGCCTCCGACTTCAGCTCGGGTCATGATCTCACAGCTCCTGAGTTCGAGCCCGGCATCGGGCTCTGTGCTGACGGCTCACAGCCTGGAGCCTGCTTCGGATTCTGTGTCTCCCTCTCTCTCTGCCCCTAACCCCCTCAGTCTGTCTCTGTCTCTCTCAAAAATACATAAACATTAAAAAAAAAAAAAGAATTTTATCCAAAAAGAGTTCTATTTCTAGATACTGTATCATTGGATTTTGCAGCAATTCTAGATCCAAGAAGAAAGCTAAAAAAAAAAAAAAAAAGAAAAAGAAAAAAAGAAAAAAGAAAACTATCCAATCCAATATGTGAAAAAGTGTAAATTTAAAGTTACATTTGCTAGAAAACATTGATATAATATTTGATTACATAGAAAGTCACTGGCCTGAAACATAGGTCTCAAATCCAAAGAAATAACCAAAGTATTCTTCTTTAAAAAAAAAAATTTTTTTTTTGATGTTTATTTATTTTTGACAGGGACAGAGACAGAGACAGAATGCGAGTGGGTTAGGGGCAGACAGAGAGGGAGACACAGAATCAGAAGCAGGCTCCAGGCTCCGAGCTATCAGCACAGAGCCCGACGCGGGGCTCGAACTCACGAACTGTGAGATCATGACCTGAGCCGAAGTCGGACACTCAACCAACTGAGCCACCCAGGTGCCCCTAAAATTTTTTTTAATGTTTCTTTATTTTTGAGGGAGAAGCAGAGTGTGAGTCGGGAGGGGGAGAGAGAGGGGGAGACACAGAATCTGAAGCAGGCTCCAGGCTCTGGGCTGTCAGCACAGAGCCCCAATGTGGAGCTCGAACTCACAAACCGTGAAATCATGACCTCAGCCGAAGTCAGATGCTTAACCGACTGAGCCACCCAGGCTCCCCCAAAGTATTCTTCTCATGCTCTCAAGTTTTAAAATTAATTTTTTCAATTTTTTATTACTACTAATAAGCACAGATAGCGAATAAAAAGTACCTTCTGTGTGCATAGTGCCTTCCTTCTGAGGTGCTGAAAATGCTTCGCAATTCCATACAAAGGGGCAATTAGAAGAATTATGCAAGCGGGCACCATCAGAACCTCCCGCAGCTCCTCTGGTTTACCAATAATGCTGTGACCACTACTTGGGTCTCAGAGCGAAAGCTTAGCGGGGCCAAAGCTAGGGCAAAGGAAGGATGAAAGGTCTAGTGGCAGTTGGGGCCTGGCCATAAATCCGAGAGGACCACAGAGGTGATATCACTCCCGTGCCAGCCAGAAAGAAATTAATATTCCTACCTTCTATTTATTGTCCAGGAAGTTGCCAAGGGAAAATTGGCTCTAGGCAACCAGTTAATCAGAACTGAAAATCTCACCTTTTACAGCGAAGACAAATACATGGGCAAATTGATGGCATTCCAGGGGTCAGAGATTCTTGCTTTTGACACGTAAGGTATGAAAACTGGTGCTATTTCCTTTCCCCAGATTTAAACTGACAAACTCACCTATTCTAATTACTATAGGCACAGCAAACACCACATTGGCAGGAAGCATAACATTTTTTTTGGAGTCGCGGATTTATTTTCAGGAAATAAATGTATTTAAGTGAACTGTGACAAATGTTAAATTAAATAAAATTTAAACTTTTAATAAATGTATTAAATTTTAATGAGCCCATTTAATAAATCTTAAGTAAATTTAACAGATTTAACTTTGTTGAAAAAATAAGATTACAAGGAACTGGAACACTCCAGGAAAACCCGATGTACGAGGGCGCATTTACACGACCAAAACCAGAATGTGACCTCACTGGAGACATGGCTGCTTATGTTAGCACTGCTCTTGAGTTGACTTGTTTTCCTGTACCGGCAAAATCCAACTGGGTCACAAATTCGTTGCCAGATTCTGCCTTTTCTTTTTTTAATATTTAAGATGGATGATGTGCCTAAAAGGTAAATTATTCACAGCAAATTAAAGCAGAAGTCAGTATATAAAATCAGACTTACATTTGTTTCCATGGTGAATTGTTTATTCACTCACTCAGTAAATATTTAAGGGGACTGTAAGTAGAGAAAAGAGGGAGCCTGATCACTGTCCTCACAAAATACAGCCCAGTTGGCTTTCTGGTTCTTAGCCCCAACTTTACATTAGAAAAACCTGGGTGGGTTTTTCAATATACTATTTTCCAGGTCTCCACTCAGTCAGACATCCAGGAGCAGAAGGCTAGGGAACGGGCATTTTTTTTTTTAAAGTGTATTTCATTTATGTACGCATGTATGCATGTATTTAGAGAGGGTGCGTAAGTGGGTGAGGGGCAGAGAGAGGGAGAATCCCAAGTAGGCTCCACACTGTCAGAGCAGAGCCTGATGCAGGGCTCAAACTCACGAACCATGAGATCACGATCTGAGCCAAGGTTAAGAGTAGGAGGCTTAACCGACCTAGCCACCCAGGCAACCTGGGAATGAGCATTTTAAAAATCCCTCCATGTCTTCTGATACACAGCCAGGCTGGAAACCACTGAATGAGCCAACTAAGATGATGTGAGAGGCACAGGCAATTGACAATCTGCTTTTTCTTTCTTCTTCTTTTTTTAAATGTTTATTTATTTTTGAGAGGGGGGGACAGAGAGAGGAGGACAGAGGATCCAAAGCAGGCTATGTGCTGACAGTAGAGAGCCCAATGTGGGGCTTGAACGCAGGAACCATGAGATCATGACTTGAGGCAAAGTTAGATGCTTAACCGACTGAGCCACCCAGGTGGCCCAACAATTTGATTTTTCTGATGAAGACATGAGACATTAATACACAAGGCACCAACGACTGTTCTTAAAACATTTGACTTTAGCACCTTTACTTTATAGTGTAAAAGGCCCCTCTTAAAAGTAACACCGCAATTGTGTGATTTTTTACATTCAGATTAAATGTCTCAAGT